ACACCCGATTAATCAAGTCTGCTCTGACACGTTCCAATTAAAGCGTGTCAGAGCAGGTGTCAGGCATGTGTATAGGAGCCCAAAGAGTCTATTTATCAATAGGTTTCCCTCAAAAACTATACAAAGGACGGTAGCCTTAGCATACTGCCATACAAGTTATTCTAGACACAATGAAGCTGTTATCTATTAAGTTTCCTTCTTTTCTCCTGAATTTAAATCCATCACTCAGGTACCGGGGGGGGGGGGGGGCGAAGCAAAGGGGGGGACGACGACACGACACGACACGCTTCTTGCTAATCGTTATTGAAAAACAAAATTCAGCAAGGATTGCAAAGAAAACCGAAGAGTATTAAATTAACAGACTGCAAGTATCCTTCAGACATCCTGCCCTATGTTTTTGCACACACAATTGATTTGCTACCGACTTAAGGGAAGCAGAAGGAAAAACAGAAGCAATTGCCTCCTAAAATTCTTTACTAGCTAGAGTAACCAAAGGGGTTTCCTTTTTTCCCCCCCCGTTTGTTTTAGAGCCACAAAAAATTACTTCTTACAGCCCTGTGACCCTTCCTTGTCAGACGATATCTTGGGTGACATTATGTACTCTGAACTTTGCTGACAACATGCCAATACAATACACCAATGCTGTTCCTACTTATGCAACATATGTTCATTCCTATTGCAGGTCTAACAATCAAGCCGGTTCCTGGGCCATTTTATAACAAACCCTGCAATCCTCAACAAAATTGATTCATTTCAGCAGCACGTTAGCTTGCACAAGGGCTGAAAGATCAGGCTGTAACATACTAAACTGGCCTGTCAACAATTAACATTTCTGGGGTATATTTATAACAATAACCAATATTACTCTAAATCTGCAGAGCTATTTGTATAATGAGTTTCCAAAATGTTCCTTTTATGCCCTACTTATCTTAGAGGAGTTAGTAGCAGCAAGTAGGGCTGCTTGCATGATTCTCTACTTTAGAGGTTACAAACACTGTATCTAAATGACATTATGTCCAGTATGAGAAAATTCATCCTAAAATACACAATAAAAGCATTAAGAATTTCATGGTCTTGTACAAACAGCATATCAGTTATTTATTACATTATACGATAAGCCGTTGTTGAGCAAAATACTGTAGATGTCATGTATCATAAAGAATCAGAGCTTACAGACAGTCTAACTGGCTCATATTTTGAACTGCACCTAAACAGTCAACCTACTAAGGCCCTGACAACATCTAAATGAATCAGTTTTCAAACTATTATTTCTGTAGAGTCCCAAAGATTTTGATAAGACACTGTGGGAGAGGTACATTCCTATGGATCCTTTTTCTTCTCTAAGATATGCATTTTAAGTCAATAACGACCTACCTAGAAAAAGACAATGACAAGGGTACAAAGAGCAAAAGAAAGCCATAAACTGGTGTACCTAGGGTTGCAGACCAGCAAATCCCTGACCTCAAGTCTAGAACCCCACATCTACATTATAACAAATACTTGGCATACCATCTTTAAAACTATACTAATTTTAAATGCAATGTGTTCTTGTATCAGTGTAAGAATAGCCTGTTTCAAAGGACTACAGCCCACATACCACTAATCATGCACAAGTGTATAAAGTATTTCACAAAGAGCTCTGTACTACACCTGGTGTAAAGGTACAGAGGCAAGAGTGCACCTGCAACTAATTTTTTCCATTTTCTCACTTGAGTGCTCAACCATGCAGCCTTAACAAAGGGTTTAAATGGCATTGCGTGCACACATTTATATGAACTATATAATACAATGGAAGAAATAAAACTCGGTGTTATAAAACATGTTCTCCTGGATACCTATCCCATGTAAAAGACCTTAGGAGTTCTGAAGTTTCTGACAAGCAAGAGATTAATAACATTCCTTCTGGAGCAATGAAACATTCAAAGGCTACCTTTATTATGCACATGTGCACTGCCTGACCTTCTTGAAATACATGCTACTAGCTTTGTGCTATTAACGGCATATGGTCCATGCTCTCTGAGAGTGTTAAAGACTCCTAAACTTCAAACAACTGCAATCCTTCTCTTTCCATACTTCACTGATACCTATGCCCAATTCCAACATTCAGCTCCCAGGCTGATTCAGCATTGATATAATTCAAAAAGGAATTTGCAAGGATTAAAAACCCTTGGAGAGTGTATTTCCCCCTCTCATTTCTACTTACAAGAACTGGAACCACTTTTTCCTCAAACGTTTACATTTTGCTTTTTGACAGAGATGGGCCTGAACACTTTCATTTGATGGAACATCTAAAAGCAAGGTTTAGCACAAGCAATATTGCTTATACTACTAGCTACTTCTATACAATATCTGACACACAATTCAAGTACCATGTTTCCAGCTGTCTTACAGATTAACAATATTGTGATAAAAAACGATTTTTCAGTGAGAACAAAGGACTGCACCAAATTTCTGCATCTGGGTCTGATCTAGCCCCCCCACCAGTCAGTCAATGCCATCAACATCAAAAAGATCCCCACACTGCTTCTACCCCAATGACACATCCCGACTGAAAACCAAAGCAGCCTCGATGCACTCCATTTTAATTAACATGCACTCCCTGGCATCTAAAATTCTTCCACCAAGTTCTGCATAATAACATAGTGGTATTAATACAAAGCCTAACCTTACTAGCTTTAACCAGTCCGAGTTTCAGAAATTATTAAACATTATAAAATATGCTAAGTTCTCCTAAAGGTACAGCAAACCATTGCTAAAAAGGTTAATTTGTCTTTTGATATAGATTTAAAAAAAAAAATATGTTTCCAAGTGGCAGATATAGGCCATAAGCCTAACACGGATATCTACCTCAAATGAGTATTTTCTGAACTAACATGAGAATTTAAACTAAACTGTTCACATCCAACATTTTAGATGAAAAAGTTCATATCTGTAAAGGGGCAGAACAGTTGCTTGAAATACCAGAGCTCTGAAAGAGCCTACTAGCTTTCAAAGGTAAAAGTCAACCACCAAAGGAAGGCCAGAAAGAACAAGTGGGCTTTAATCCCGAGACAAAAAACAAAAGCAAGTGAGAAAGAACGGTCTGCTGCAAATCAGAGTCAATAATAATTGCTATTTTACCCAATTTTTCATTCATAGGCCTTTAAAAAAAGTTGTAAAACAACGGGATGATGGGAGGCGAGAAACCTGTGGCACTAAAAAGTGAAGTAACTTGCCCAAGGTTACACAACAGGGCAATGGCAGAACCAGGGATCACACCTAGTTGTAACTCTATCCACAGGACTAGAAGTTTCCTTAATGGGACAGGAAAAAAAAAAAAAAAAAAGGAAAAAACAGAGTCTAGTCCAACTGCTTTACAGCAAAGCATACTTGGCCTAGTACATTATCTGACCTTTGTTAGTTTAGTAGGCTACTAATACTGAGTCAGCTGATGAGGCTTAATTTAACGTTTAGTAAAACTATCTTTTCACCTATTTAGTCTGAACGGAAATAGGATGCCAATTTTTTCAAGTAGCAACTTAAGACTCCACCACCTTCCCATCATCATCATTCTTCCCCTATAATCTAATGAAAGGGGACTTTTTTTTGTTTGTTTGTTTCATCTTTCCCTTCACCAAACCACCTCCCCCAAATGTTCATTCATTTCACAAAATTGCAATTACTAAATGTATTTCCTCCCAGGGAAGCACTGGATCAACTACAGCCTGTGCGTCTCCACAGGCAAGATCAATGCCAAGCCTTGGCCGGCTGGCAGCAGTGTATGCATACCAAAACCAGAGCCCTCTTTGAAACAGTGTTAGTTTTAGGACACTTGAAGCCTCCATTGGCCCACGATCAACAACACAGTCTACTGCATCAGGCACAACAGGGGACAGCCCTCCCCCTCCCCAACTGTCTCAGTTTAAGACTGCATATTTATATCAATATTTTATTTTCACCTATATCAGTTGCAGGACCAACTGAATGTCCACTTCCAGTTATAAAAAGCACTGAGCACCTATTTCACGCCCCCCCCCGAGCGGTTTCTGCAATTCTGGAGCAGAGTCTAGCAAACAAACTTTTTACTCCCCCATTTAAATCTCTCGTGTTGTACACCTTGATTACATTCCCCCCTCCCCAGCTAAAAAGCCAAAATTATTCTGTTCGTAAGAACATATGCATCCCCCATTTCCTTCCTCCTGCACTTAATAGTCTGCACTGCATTTCTCCAGTTCCTTAGCAACCACACATCCCGTATAGATTGCAAAAACCAGCTAGCCATTTAATCACTTTTACGTCAAAATCCAGAATCAGCAGCAGAGTTCCTTGTTCTTTCAGTCTGATGTGCCAGGCAAGGGGTCCATTTTATGACTAGACTATCCAAAGGTCAGTTACCAAATTTGGTCAGCAGTGGTGCCATCGTTGCCGTCATCATTCTTGTCAGTGTCAAAAGCAACAACTGTCACCTTACTATTATCAGGGAGGAAAGGCCACTGGAATATTCCCCATGCAAATTCTATTTACAGTTTGCACCGCATCCAAAAATGTCTTCCAATGCCTGTTCGCTCAGCGTGATAACAGTTAACTCAAAAAGAAAAAGAATGACCCGGTAAACTCTTACTTAATCAAGGTTAAGTTTGAGAAGCAAAAAGAAAGAAAGGAAAAAAAAAAAAGGAAAGGTTGGGCAATCCCTTGTGAAATGGATATAAACGCCAGGTCGGATACCAGCGACCTGTTTCACGGGTCTGTGCGTCTCAGCTTAGTTAGTATTCAGTCCTGTTCGTTCCCAAAACGCAGCCGGGAGAATTCCTTTCAGAACACGGCAAAATAAAACGAACGCCGAAGCGGACATGCGAGACTCAGCACGCCGTTTGCTATTCTGCATCTTACGCTAGCTCTTCTTTACACAGCCTAATAACTCCGGGAGCAATCTGTACACGGGCGGAAGCGCAACACTGGTTAACGTAGCTTGGGAAAATAAATAAATAAAATTTTAAAAAATGGAAACCCTTCATACTTACGAAGGATATACAAGCCGCCAACAACAAAATCCTAACTAGCAAGTCTTCGAACTGTTCGATCACGAGCTCGAGTAACGTTTTCCCTTGAAAGAAAGAGAGAAAACAGACGTGATGTCATTTCGGACACACGCACAACGCGGCGGCGGTGGCAGCGCGCGGGAGGGGGGCAAATCGGGGCTTACCTTCCTCGGCTGGCAGTTCTGCAGGCGGCGGAGATTTTTCCCGGGGAACATGTCGAAGAGAAAGGCTGTTAGTGACAGATCGCGAACAACGCCCTGCCCCGGGCGGGTTTGAACGGGAGGAGGGGGGTGGGGGGGGCTCCTATATTTCCAACCGATTCAGCCAAGTCATCGGGGCAACTCCTGGCCGCCGGTTTGAGGGATGTGGACAAATCGCTGGCACGAAATGGAGCCCCGCGGGGGCGGCGGGGGCGCGCGAGGGGGGGGGGG